CGCGCGGTTGATGTATTTTTAACCGACTTCCAAACAAGGAGGAGGTTATCAGTTCGTCGGAATATTTTTTATTTTTTATTTTATTTTTTTTATGTATGTTACCGCATAACTTTGGACCTCGTTAACCGATTTCGATAATTCTTTTTGCATCGGAAAAGTGTCTCAGAGGTGGTCCCATACTAATCTGGTTTAGATATATATATATATTTGTTTCGAAAACGCCCTATCTCAGCTGCCGATTCAAAAGCACCCTATATCAGCACATTTTCAATTCTTTTTGAAGTGAGATAGGTCGTTTTTTAATCGAATTCTAAAATGGGGCGTTTTTCAACCAAATTCTGAGATATAGGCTGCATTTCTTTATTCATTCTGAATGTTTGGAATAAACTTTTTTGTTTACTTATTCTTTAGAACGTTCCTGATGATATGTTAACGTATATTTCAAACGCATTCTGATTATTCCGGCTGTGAAATGGGATTATCCGGAATGTATAAAGAAACGCAGCCATAGTGTTTTTCAATTACATTTTCAAATAGGGCGTTCTTGAAAAGTTTTTGAGTTAGGGCGTTTTCGAACTGGCTGCCGAGATAGATCGATCATCCACTCAGCAGTCGATATATGGAGTAGTGTATCACCAACTGAAAACAGAAATACATTGAGTAAAAGATGTCTATGATTGGAGAAATTAAAATTCCATTTTTACAAATTTTATGGGTGCACTCGAAATTCAATCTAAAATTGTTATAAATGTATGTATAATATGGCTTTTAAGTTAAGGCGTGCGAGTAAACTTGTTAGATGACTACCTATGGTGCTACGTGGCGTATACGTTACATACGCAACTACGGGTAAATGAGCATGAGTGGCTTTTTTTTAATCTTTTTAAGTTTTCATTTAAACACAATACCGCGATGGAATCTATGTAGGTCTTTTACAAAACTGAATATAATGCATTTTCTAAGATAGGTGAACCACCATTTTCGACCAAAAAGGCCTGTGACCTGTGGAATATTAAAAATCCGGCAAGGCATCAAGTTCCGTCAAAGGGGTAAAAAGTTCGTGTTGATGTTTGCAAATAAATGCCCAAGAAATTGAATCGAGATGATTCAAGAGACGTCTACAAGGTCGTGACGGTAAAACTAAAAATCAATCGACTGTATCGGTCTTTCTAAACGAGCCAAGTGAAACAGGTACGAAGCAAATGATCGCTAGTTTTTACGGAATAACTGGGTATGTCGCTACCGTTCAAGTAGAGCAACGTAGCACGGTCCATTCTGAATGGTACGAAGTGTTTGAAAAAATAAGGGAAACCAGTCGCAGACAACGAATCATTCTCCAACACGACAATGCAAGCTCTTACTGGCGTCCCTAAATTGGAGCGCTAAGCGGTGCGTTTTCCAATGCCAACGAGTGCCAGCGCGCGCTATACTTATCGTTTTTATTCTCATTTCCTCTTTCAATTTTTGTCCTCTCAGCGTTGCCGAATTGACGTTTTTTGAGCTCAATAACGTTTTGACGATTTTTCCCCCGTAATGACGATTTTTTATTTTAGTTTTTCCACTAAATGACATATGTATGTACAGCGGCGGCGAAATGCCCTGTGCCCGGGTGGGTAGTTCTGCTGGTGGCAAGAGTATACAGGAAAAAAATTGCTTGCCGATCTAATTGAGAAGGTTAACAGATTTTGTTAGAAAAACTTATTGTTTCGTGTATAATACATTTTGTACATATTGTCATTTAATCAAATTTTGAAATTTTTTTATTTCTGCATGGAAACACGGCCATTCGAGAAATGAAGTCGTTCATGAGTTCATGGATAAGAATGCAATATTGCTACATGGTTGAACCGTTATTGAAGCATTGTCGAGAGCAAATAATTTTGGAGCATGAAGACCCTGGAATTGTAGCAAGAAATCTAATGAAGCGTACCAATTCAATGCAACATCTTTCACGGATCTTGGATTTTGCTCTGTACGCCTCATTATGCATAGAGCCATATCTTTATCGCTATTGAGTTTGCATTCGTCAAAATCACCATTATAAAAAGTGACATTTTCTTCAAATCTACTGTCTCACCAAGAATGAGCTTTTCTATAGTTATAAAACGTTGCCGATTCAATATCAAATCTACTTGTCAAGGGGCAAATAACTTTGTCAAACATTTCATAATATATCTTCCGAAAATACTCTTCAGGTGTGGTTAAAACAGGATTTTCAATTGGACTTATTTTTTCTCTACAAATTTTCAGGTGGGTAATTACCCACCTTTAAAAATTTCAGGTGGGTAGTACTAACCACCATACCCAAGGCCGTATTTAGGGGGGGGGGGATGTAGGTGTTCTGACCTCCCCCCCCAAAACCCAATAGAATTCTACATGTGAAGTGCTATGCGTTGGGTAACCACTTACACGCAAGCCCCATTTAACAACTCTCAAGCAAAGCTAAGTATGCATAACTAGGCTATAAGTCTTGTAAACTATGTTTATCAAAAGCGGACTCGTAGCTTTATTCCTAAAAAAAAAAATAAATTGTAACAGAAAATTTAAGGGATTTAATTACTCATATATGTTATGCCTTTCAGCAGCGGGCGTATTAATTGAATAAATATCGAACAGCTGATTGCACCAACTATTAGAAAAATTATCAAGCTTCCTTCACGATAATTCGGTAACCGGTAGTTTAAAAAAAAAAAAAACCCAATTGCTTAGTATTTATGCATACGACTCATTGTATGTAATTCCTTTGCATTCTTTATTTTGCTAAAAAAATACAATAAACAAAAATTTGAAGATTTTTTGGCCGAAATTACGATTTTTTTTAGGGTAAAGTGACGATTTTCCAGCGAAAGCTACGGCAACGCTATGTCCTCTCCCTTTCTTTCCGTCTTCTGCATCCAACTTCAACACGAAACGCCCTGTCAAAAATTAGTGGGATTCTGCATACAAATTGTATGGGCATGAGGATTTTTGACAGTTGTTTGGCGCTTGACGCGCCAATCTAGGGACGGCAGTTAGACATCAAACATGTTTTTGAGCATTCAAAACATCGAATTGATTGATGATTTATTCTTTTTTCTGTGGACCTAAAATAAATTGCGAGGTCAACGTATCCGGACGCCTGACGATGCGGTTGATGCGTTCAAATCACATTTGGATTCAATGTTTCAAGCTAGAGTCCGACCGATTAATAGGCATCGGCATCGGCTACTATCGGCCAAAAGAATCGGCATCGGCATCGGCATTGGCCGATTCTTAGCCGTTTCTTTTTTTAGTTTTTCCGCACTTCATTCCATGTTATTTATTTTTTACTTTTTTAATTCTTTTAAAGTTTAAAATATTAATGCATCTGAGTTCCCGTCATTAATGTATTCTCATAGTTCATTTATATGACGTAGGGTAGCGAGAATGTAAGTGGGGAAAACACATTTTAGCAAGTTTTGGCTATTTTTCTTAGTTTATTTTTTCTTATGAAAATATAGCTTACTATCTAAAAAACTGTAAATCAAAATTTCAAACTTTATAAAAATTCGACGAATCTTAACAAATGTTCATCAAAATTTTGGAACTGTTTAATCAGATTTTTAAAATTTTGTGGAGTACGCAGTTTTTTGAATTTTAGTAGTGCGAGTTTGAAGTAGCTATTTAGGTAAGTGTTGACTTTTGGCAATTTTTTGTTACCGCACTTCATTCAAATAAAATTGAATGGGCAACTGCATACTCAGAATGGTTAATGAAAAAGTTTGCAATTTTTACTAACATGTTTTTCTTTTAGATAACGAGCTACACTTTCAAAAAAAAAAACAATAAACATTAAATAAACGAAAGGGAAATAGCCAAAGAATGCTAAAACGTCGTTACTGTAAGTTTTGTTACGATTATCTTTGAATTAATCACTGAATTCCTAAATCCTTCGGGTTCTATTCACTGGATTGTTAAATTGTTTACGTTACAAAAATACTTTTATCATGAAAAATCTACGGTTACTGTTTATTAACAAATTTTATTCAATACAACACCTTATATATATTTATAGTCAGCAGAAGCTGCATATTTTTACTACTATGAGTACAACTATGAAATGTGATTTCGAATTAAGTATTTTTTAACATTGAATACGAAAAAGACTATGGAACAAAGTATTGCAATGATATATATGCATAGGCGATATACTACTTTTAATACATATTTATGTATGTACATAAATAAGTGAATAGATTATTGAATGATTATTTGTTTTGTAATGTATTTGTTTATGTTTTTCTTTTGTTATTATAAAAGTTTATCAAAAACATTTGTTCTTGAATGAATTTATATTCAGGTAGTTTTTCTTAACGAATCGACATCGGCATCGGCATCGGCCGATTCTTTGCCCTAAGGCTGTTGCTATATTTCCACACTAACAGGTCTGCACGTTACCGAAGATTTTGTAACCGGAAAATTGTATTACCAAAAAATGTTACCAGTTCTTGTCACCGCGATTCTAGGTACGTTGGTAATGCAGCTAAAATATTCAGCAATTCAGCTATGAAGAATTGTGCAAATCCTGGCATTGCATACTTCACGGGGCAATAATTTGTTACCATGGTAACAAAATTTACCGGTTACAAGAGTACACAGAATGCGAAAAGGGTTTAAAAATTGACAGGAACTTTATTTATCGGTTACAAACTTTTTATTACCAGCGCAGAATAGACCTGTAAGTAGGAACCCTCGTAGTATATGAGGAAATTCTTCGTGCAAAATTTGGAAGAAAATATTTTTTTTTATCGGAACTATCAAAAAACAACGCGTGCAGAAAACGACACTCAGACTAAAAAAGTGTAGATACTCTATCTTTACCCCAATAATTTTTGAAAATATTTTGAAAAGCACTGCTCTATGGGGTATAATGAAATACGACAGCGATGTTGTCATCTTCAAACCAGCAACACCAACCACTTTCGCTCCCATCGCTTCGAACTAGTGCAATGCCAATAGAGAGCATGTTGTTAAATCGACCGTCTGAGATCACCGAAGCAAACTTCCTCCATACACATCGAGTTGGACAAAGCAGCTAACGACGTCGCAACCAACCACCATTACCACCAGTCAGACAGTCGCCGCATTCGCACACGCGTACCTTAATAGCAGCAGTCAGTATTAACTTGAGTCCGAGACGGTGTGAACGCGAACGTGTTTTGATCGGATCGACGCATCGACCGATTGCACCGATAAGTGGCTAAAAACATTTAACAGTACGAAACTTGAAGCGGGTAAATCGAAATTGGTGTTTAGTTGAAATTCTACTTGGGGGCAAAGCAAAAAAAGCTCTGGTTAAGGAGCATCATTAGCTGTAAGGTGTAGCGCTGAAGCGTTTTGTCGCACCGCAATGAAGATTGCGAGACGTGCAAGGAGTGTGGCGGTATGAGTACAGTGATCAAGAAGTGGTAGAGTGCGGCGACTGAGGTGCTGGGTCGAACGATGGCCTGATGTGGTTTTATAAATTTTGTGCTGTGCGAAGAGTGTGTAAAGTGTCTGCCATGGTGTTGGCCATTATTTGCAATTTACTTGCCAATCTGGGAAGGGCTCAAATAAAAAAGCCTACATTGCATACATCTTATGCATCTGTGCATATACATACATATATTTATGCACATAAATACATATATACCTGTATGAGCGCATACATAAGTGCATACATACATATATACATAGTATAAATATAGATACATATGTACATCCATAGATAGATGTGCATTGACTTCAGCAAACTTTGTATTGGGTATATGTACATAAATACATACCCACATATTTAAGTACGAAATGCTTATTTGGTAAATAATTAAAATTCTATTGACTATAATAAAGCAAAGAGTAGCCAGCCACATGTGAAATGAATTAAGTTAACCAGCGCTGATATACTGTGCAATTCGTAATTTTTGCAAGCAAAGAATCTCGTTATTTGTTTATGTTACTTCTATTCTCAAGTTTTAAATTCCATCTCATGTTTTTTTGTTTGCTTTAGCGGCTTTCATGCAGTTTATGTGAGCAGGAAATAAACAAAAAATCCATATTGCACACATTTGCGTATTCATAGGCATCCAGCCACTTGCACATTTTTAGATACATATTAGGGATGTTAATTTTTTAGATTTTTACGATCCCGGGACTTTAGGGATGTCGTTGGTTCAATCCCGGGATCAGTCCCGGGATTTAGATATTTATTATTTTTCAACGACTTAAGCTCTCCTACCATATAATAAATAATGAGGCGTATTCTGGGTTTCTTACGAATCCAAAATTTGAAATTTTTGGATACAAAATGATAGGAAAATTTCATGATTTTCGATTCGTACGAAAACAAGAATACGCCCCAATAAGTAAATGGGTTTGAAAAATGACAAAACGAAAGACAGTAATTGATTTTATATGCATTTACTAATACTTAAGCGTGTACATATCTGATAAAGTAATTTAAGGTATGTCGTAAAAAGCTCGATACAAAAAAAAATTTAATCAAAAAAATTATGTTCTGGTTGAAAGAAGTTCATAATACTAGTGGCAGAAATAAAAGAAGCGCCTTAATTTGACCAGTTTTGTCTATATTCCTTTTTTTAATTTAAAATTTACATATTTTTATAAAAGTCTACCTCATATTACATATAATTAACTGCATGGGCATTTCTTTGACGTCATGATTTCTTTAAAAAGACTATAATTTTAAAGATATGGGTGATTCCAAAATTTATTTAAACAAATTCGGTGAAATGTAAAACAAAAATATGGGTACCAAATGAAATATTTGTTTTTGGGTTCATAAGGACGAATAGGAATTGAAAATGCCCCTTTAATCTATTTTATTTTTTTAAGCTAATAAAGTTAGTCCTAACCAACTTTTTTTTAATTGCATACATTTTTATGGCAGTGGCACTCGATTGGTTCATTTGTACAGATTGGTACATTTTTATATTCGGCTATTGGTACAAAACAAAAAAGGGAAATTTTTCTTTTTGTAGTCAAAATAGTTTCTTAAAGGATTTTTTGCAAAAAATCCTCTCAGATGACAAAACAGTTTAAGCTTAAAAAATCTACACTGCCGGAACAAAGTATTGGCACAGCAAATTTTTCACAATATATGCAACAATTTTCATTCTAATATTTTTCCGCTAATTTTGTATAAAAATATGGCTCATTCTACAACAAAAAACATAAAAATACAGTTCCTAAACTTTGTGCAAAACTCGCGAAAATTTAGCAAATTTTCATGAAAATTTTCAACTTTTTAATCAGATATTTTAGATATTTTTTTTTGAGTATGCAGATTTGTAGCCCAATCAATTTTATTATAATAATGTGCTAGTTTTAAGTAGCTAGGAATTACCGTTGATTTTTGGTATTTTTTTTCACGCAGTCTCTTCCATACAAAATTTTTTTTTCGAAAATACTTTATATGGAAAAAATGCAAAACACCTTCAACAAAAAAAATTCTCAAAAATCAACGCGATTTTTGACTAACTCCGAACTGCATTCTTTTTTACTAGAATTCAATGGGCTGCAAAACTGCATACTCATCTGATTAAAAAGGTGAAAATTTTGATGAAAATTTGCTGAATTTTCGCGAGTTTTGCACAAAGTTTAGGAATTATATTTTTATGTTTTTTGTTTTTGAATGAACCATATTTTTATACAAAATTGGCGGAAAAATATTAGAATAAAAATTGTTGCATATATTGTGAAAAAATTGATGTGCCAATACTTTGTTCCGGCAGTGTAAATAAAAATATTAAAAAATTGTATCAACCGAATCATAATAATGAGATTTTTGATGCTGTTTTTTAACTTTTTTCAAAGATTTGTTTAGGAAAAACTTGAAAACCTGCTCCAAAACTTTACCGATATAGACTTATAAGGTATCACAGGTATCATTTTCTCACCCTTTTTGTTTCTTTGCATAAAAAAACTCATTCACGTCCCAATTTTTTTTATTCAACACCAACACATCTTAATTCAACACGTAATGACACTCGTTTATCTTACCTCCCTTTTTCATATTTTGAATGAGCTTATTCGCTTTTTCTTTGAAAAAGTGCAAAAACAGCATCAAAAATCTCTCTTTTATTTAAACTTTTTAAGCTTAAACTACTCAGTCATCTAAGGTAATTTTTTCAAAAAATATTTAAATAAACTGTTTATTAATAAAAAGAACTCAATTTTTGGAGGTATTTTCAGATCTTAAATCTTAATATTTTTGCGAGATATTTTGGTGGAAGTCTTAAAATATAATACATAGATTTTATAATTCCAGTGGAAAAACAGTACCACTTTTTTTGTATGGGCAGTGATGCAGTCTACTGTACATAAGTTGGCTATGATTACTCGGCCGTCTATCATAGTAGCACAATGCCGCTAAGTACATTTTAAAATTTTCAGGCAATAGCCTCATGCGATTATCGATATCTGTTGTTTGGGTGAAATATTTTATTTTTATCAATATTTTTCTTTTAATCAAAATATGTTGAAATCACTTTAAAAAAAAAAATATTGCCAGAACCCCCCTGGCTACGGCCCTGGTCCTAACATATAAAAATTTTTCAAAAATAAGAATTGCACAATTTCAAGGATAAAATTATAAAAGGGTATTTTCAATACCTACCTGTCCCTTACGCACCAAAAAATGTAATGTGTTTTAACTCTACAGAATCTTCTCTTTCGTTTGATACCCATACTGGGTTTTAAGTACATATGTATATTGCACTGAAATTTTTAAATCATTCTTTGAATTACTCATATCTTTTAAATTTCAAAGTTCTATTAAAAAATCCTGAAGTCACACAGTGTTTCGATTATATGGGGGCAAGTAGAAAAAAGTCGTGGTGACAGTTGATAAAAAAACCGGTCGGACTTAGAGAGGGAAAAGTAAAAGTCATAAATACCAAATTTTACATTATTTACTCACCCCCTTCTTCACGAACGATACATTTCCAAAAAAATACGAGAATGGGCGCGATACCGACTAATCAGTTTAGTTGCCTGTAGCGATTAACCCATTAAAGAAAGTGTTTCTATTTCAACTGTAGTCAATTATTTAAATGTCGTGGAATCTTTAGGTGAAGGTATTTATCATTTATTTGGTACTTTCCTATTACCAAAAAATTTACTTTGAAATGCAGATGCTAAAGATTATTAGTAAATAAAAGGGTGAGTACCGGTCTGTCAGGTCTTGAATATAGGCGAATGTTTTAGAGAATTTTCTGTAGTATTCGAATATATAATTTGACCTTTGCGCGTGACTTTGCAAATATATGTAATTTTTGATTTTCTTAATTTTCGATTTTCAGTTTTTTTTTGCATAATTTCGTGAAAAGAATTTTTTGAACAATGAAAAAATCTCACCAAACATTGGGAAAAAGCGAGTATTTACACCTAAGTCATTTTATGGAATAACCTTTGTTTTCTGAGAGTGGAAAGCAGGAAACAAAAATTAACCAAAATTCCACCACATTTAATGACTGGGCCCACTCTTTCGGTGAGTTTTGTATTTAGGTTTTTCTAATAAAATAAAGACTACAAACTAAATTTCAACGAAATCGGATGAAATTTAATGTTTCCGCCCACAAGAGTAGAGGGCGTGGCAATTATTCCATCTTTACAAAATTACATAATTCTCTATTTCTAAGTAAAACTAGAGCACATGTCAAGTTATAGTGAAATCGGTGCAGGTGTACGATTATTTCCACCTGCCTCCATATAGTCGAAACACTGTGCGTCAGAGAGCAAAATTAAGAATGCAATTTTAAAATATTTGGCCCTTGGTTTGGTGAATATATTGATTTTTTTGTTGTGTGCAAAGTTTACTGCACATTAACAAAAGAGATGTTAAATATTAAATAAACAAAAGAAATATAGCCAAAACTGGTCAACATAAAGCGTTTCTATTATTGTCACCAAAGTTACCTACAAATTCCGAAAATCCCGGGATTCTAGGAAAATAATCCCGGGATTTTCGGGACTTAAAAAAGACCGGGATCCCGGGATTAACATTCCTAATACATATGTATGTATATAAATAAAATGCGCATGTGATTTTTATATAGCAACGGTGGGCAAACACGGCTCTTTGAGCCCAATGCGGCCCCTTTCTTAGCAAAATGTGGCTCTTTTACTTTCTCTTTGCTTAGAACATTTTGGCCATTTTTCCTTTTTAAAATACATATTTCTTTTCCACTGTGTTGTTTTTTATTTTATTCTTTTTATAAACACATACGCAAATTGA